GACCACAGATGCACACCATTGCTGCTTTAGAAGCTGCTCTTGTTCAAGAATGGAACAATTTGCCCCAGGCCTTCTTTCAAACATTGGTAAATTCCATGCGACGTCGCTGCACAGCGTGCGTAAGAACCTGTGGAGGACACACGCGCTACTGACATCTGTGTCGTACTTTTGGTTTTGACCCATCTGACTTTGTACCGTTGATTACAAATTAAACATCCATAAGTGTACAAATGTGTTGTTATTGATGTGTTCCCATTTGAATATTGTTCACAATAAGAAGCAAAATAAATAAGATATGTTTACAGGATCATTTTGTTGTACGAAAAACTAAGTGATGCGTTTTCCATTGGCGCTCAGTATACATTTAACAGGAGTAATGATATTAAAGACAATGTGAAAATAGATGTACTATCTTACATTTATTCTACACCAAAATTCCATAAAAACCCAGTAAAATTCAGATACATAATATCCTCCAATATCTGCCAAACGAAACCATTAGTTAAGACTATCACCAAAGGACTTAAATCATGCCAAACCCAACATGCCATTTGGTGCAGAACACTTCGTAGCTATACAGGAATTAATAGTTTTTTCATAATTGATAAAAATAAACCTATAGTAGACACTTTAGAAAAAATCAATAAAAATGTTAATGCAAAAACAATAGAAATGTTCGATTTTTCTACTTTGTATACTATGCTTTAACATATGCAGATCTTAAAGATAATTTGGATTGGTTTGTAGATAAAACCTTTAATGGAGCTTTCGGGAAAGGCAGAAACTTTATGGCCATTTATGCAGAAGATGCTAAATGGATTGGGGGGTTGGATGGCTTAGTGGTTAGCACGTGTGCGCTGTATCATTAAGCCTGTCATTGAGTCATCTGGCGTGGTTTTGAATTCCCAGTTGTACGTGACAAGGAGTAGGCTGTCCTGTCCAAACTCGTGGGTTTTCTCCGGGTCCTCCGGTTTCCTCCTACTGTTAAAGACCCCTACGCGCAAGCGAATTATGGAAATAAAATTGAACCATATATTAGTCCCGAAATGACCTAGTCTGTGGACGTTAAACCCCATTTCTCTCTCTCTCTCGCTAAATGGATTATAAAACGTCGCAATGCCGACACTGTAGTTTTTGATAAAGAAAAATTTCAAAACATCATACATTTCCTCATTGACAATGCCATATTTGAGGTTGGGGATCAGATAATACAGCAAACCATTGGTTTACCAATGGGAACTGACCCCGCCCCATTTATGGCTAATGCACATTTATATATATACAAATTCTACTTTCAAGACCATAAAAGAAAAACAGATTAGCTAAAAGTCTAAACTATACCTTCCGATACATTGATGACATAACACCTATCAATGATAACGGAAATTTCAACAAATATAAAAGTGAAATATATCCTCCTGAACTAATATTAAATAAAGAAAATTCTGGCACTATAAATGCATCTGTTCTTGACCTGGACATCAATATAATTAACAATAAATTTAATGTCGGTATTTTGGACAAAACGGACAAATTTGGTTTTGAAGTAGTAAAATACCCATCAATCTATTGTAACATACCAGATACCACGCTATATAGTGTTTTCTATTCATAGGCATTACGATTTTTGACAATATGTAACAATAAAGAACTATTTCTCTCCTGAATAAAATCTCTTTACTTTAAATAAATGCACTGCCAAAGGCGGTACACAATTACGCATTTTAAAAGAAATTTTGAAACTTCCATTCTTCAAAATACCAAGTTTGAAATTTCTTTTAAGTATATAACCGACTACATACTGGATAATGATCCAATTTAAATTTTATTTTAGATTTTCTGTAGTTACCTAACCCTATCTGAATTACCTCCCTTATACTTTATGCCTTTATAAAATATAAATACACTTACATAGTACGATTTCTTCAGCATACCTGTTTTGCATTTTTGTGTGGGGTATTATATTAATAATATATTATAAATTGTACAATTACATAACTTAATAATTCTGATTAGTCGCTAAAACTTTTATTTTTTAAGCTTTTAACTTATTCGGATTATCGCCCTTATTACTGTGATTTTTTATCACATTCTAAGATATGACGTCATTCCCAAAATAACGTCGCCACTCAGTTAGCAGACGGCTGTCTCTCAAGACAGTCTACATTTCCTATTTGCTTCTTTGTTTTTTTTTTAGTTTTTTTTTGTGACGGATGGAACATGTGCCATATATACTATTCAAAAAAAGTAGGGGATATTTGATTTTTAAGTGTTATTAAAGTCACCGAATGAAACTGACGAAGAAACAAATGACAAAATGAAATGAAGTTCACATTCATCGATTTATTCCAAATGATCGTTAGACTAAGTAAGGCACAGACTGACCATTATAAGGGTAAAATGATACCCGGGGTCAAACAGCAAAGTTACCACAGCATCACAACCAAGTCAGTAACGGGTAAATCCTCCTCTGTTTGCCAAACAAGCATTGATCCGAAGTGGCATACTCCTAATGAGACGTCTAAGGTCATTTTGGTCCAGATTGTCCCATTCCTGTTGCAACGCAGCAGCAAGTTCTTGGACATTGGCAGGACGTTGTTGACGTTGACGTAACCTCTGTCCAAGCATGTCCCAGACATGCTCGATGGGGGAGAGGTAATGTGGTGATGTTCTGTTGTTGGAGGTAACCTGTAACGATCCTGGCCCTGTGACATCTTGCGTTGTCATCCTGGAAGATGAAACGGCGGCCATGACGTCGTGCGAACGGCACAACATGGACTGCCAAGATGTTGTCCCGGTAGTACTGGCCTGTAACACGCCCTGCAACAACATGTAAAGCCGTTCTTCCAGCAACAGTGATGCCTCCCCACACCATAACAGAACCACCCCCAAATCGATCATGTCTGATGACGTTAACGTCTTGGAAGCGCTCGTTTCGACGACGCCACACCCTCCTACGTCTGTCCAAAAAATCAACAGTGAACCTTGACTCATCTGAAAACATCACATTGCTCCAGCGTCGATTATCCCAGTGTTGACGATCCCTACACCAACGACGTCTTGCCTGAATGTGATGATCTCTCAAACAAGGGATCACGCGAGGACGTCGGGCGCGAAGGTGACCCCTATGCAGTCGATTCCGAATCGTCTGGCCACTCACTCTCACACCAGTGTCTGTTTGAAGACGAGCGCTGATCTGATTTGCTGTGATGACACGATTTCTCAAGGCCAAGGTACGGATAAATCGATCCTGGGCTTGAGTTGTCGCCCTTGGTCGACCTGAGCGTGGTCTGTCCTGTACAGATTGTGTATCACGGTATCTGGACCATAGCCTGCTTATGACAGACTGAGAAACATTCATCGTCCGCGCCACAACCGCCTGTGTTGTGCCGATCTGTAGCATGCCAAGGGCACGTAACCTTTCATTTTGGGTAAGCCGACGCATATCAAAATTTGTTTTCTGGTCACTAAAACAATTAAACTGATGTTTCCACCCTGGAATTCAATGCCACAATGACTGTAACATTCAAAGTCAGAGTCGTGCAAATCTTGGGTTGGACCCCCATGATGATCCCAAGCATCACCTGCATTCCATGCGGTAGCTATTGGTGCGTTTGGGCGTCACATGTAACTGGAAATGTTTCTTCTTTTTTTATACATTTCACTTGTATAGTTGAATTTTACTACATATGCTTACATTCGTATTTCGTGTAGCATATAGCAGTTCATGACTCATGCTGGCATTGCACAATGGTTTCTTTGGGTTGTATTCCTGATTGTTTTCAAATTTGAGTGAAGTCTGTGTCACTACAGACCCTGGACTGTACAGCGCAGTGGACACTTACGGCTAGCCCCCGGATCCATTCACTTTTTTTGAATTGTCTGTCTGTTTGTGTTTTCCTGAGTATGATGTTTTGCCATGTATTTGTTTTTGTGTAAATTTTGTGTGGTGCAGTCCCCCTGCACTTACTATTGAATGCTATTGGTTTGTAGCATTGCTGAATCTGGTTGACACAAGAGAAGGGAAGAAGGAAAAGAGGGCACAATATTGGCATTAAACATACATTATGCATGAGATAAATCTGCCAGTTGCACGGTCTTTCTTTAGGCCTGAAAGGTTATCTGAATTATTGATTAGACATTAATTTACTTATCCAGACCATAATCAACTCTTAATGGCATCGCTAGCCTGCAATATTTACTGGATTAGAACCCTGTCTGCTGCTTCTGATTAAATCAAAAAATGGATAATCGAGACTATGTTTTTTACCGACTTTAGTAATGATGATCGAGGCTAGGCCCAAAATTCAATCGCTAAATACTTGGTTCAGGGTGGATCAATTTGACTGAAATTTCAGCAAATTCCCTTTACATTATCTAGTTTTTAACTATTATAGTGAGAACTACCAGCTCTTTATCTAATCTCCCATAATGTATCTTTAAGACAATGGGAATATGATGACGTTGACACAGGCATTTCCTTGAGTATTTGAGGTAACTCTATTGTATTTGAGGGTCAGGGCACCTTTTTAGATGCGAAGGCACAGACATGTAGACACACCCCTGTAAGCCACACACGCCTGTACCCAGGTTTGAAATCTCATTGGATATGAGCGTTATCAATAATTTTCTTTTTCTTTATGTGGGAGCCAGCTACCCACTCAGCACTCCTCTGGTCCTACAGAATACAGACGTCACCAATTGTAAATACATTTCACACAATCAAATTTGTATAAATAGATATTGTCCCAAAAATGCAAATAACAATCCATGGTTTGAAGTGAAATAAGATAGCAAATTAGCTATTGTCACATCTAGATGTCTAAATATTACTGAAAAATGTGTCTGATTTTTTTATGGCTTTCTTTTTAATAGAAGTTAAGAGAATATATCATGCATGGCCATATATTTTATAGGGGAATACTTCTAACTACTGACAAGTTGTGATAATTACATGTGCTTTGTCACTATCTTAAATTAATTTATTTACTGATTAACAGAAAACTCAAGCTGGTCTTAACTTTGCTAGTGAAGATGAGGCTAATTTGTTTAAAAGTGCGGTAGAACAAAAATTGCATGAGAGGAGCTTGAGGAAGCAAGGTAAATATTACTTATTTTTATACGCCCACATGGAAATGTGGTCTTATATTGCAGTCACCCCCGTCGGTCCACCAGTCGTCCACAATTTTTTGTGAACCCACTACAGACTACATTTATCATCTGATTGTCTTAAAATTGATATATGTTGTTTAGATTAGTGAGATGAAGAATCCAATTTAATTTTGATAATTTTCATCAATTACATCTAGAGTTATGGCCCTTGTTCACTTTGTAAACGCTATAATAACAAAAGTTATCATCCGATCTGTGTGAAATTTATATTCATCATTTAAATTAGTGAAATAGAGAAGCCTATTGAATTTCAGCAATTTATGTTAATTATGTCTAGAGTTATGGTCCTTGTTTCACTTTGTTGAACCTTGTTAACGCTCGAACGCCAAAAGTTATGTATGAAATTTATATGGATCATTTGAATTAGTGAAACAAAGCAGCCTATTGAATTTTAGTATTTTATTTTCCGTCAGAGTTATGGCCCTTGTTTCACTGTCGAACCTTGTGAACACTCTAACGCCAAAATTTATCATTCAATCTGTATGAAATTTATATGCATTATTTAGATTAGAGAAACGAAGATTCGTCATGAATTTTAACAATTTCCGTTAATTACGTCTGAAGTTTAACTTTGTTGAACCTTGTGAACGCTCGAACGAAAAAAAGTTATCATCTGATCTGTATTAAATTTATATGCATCATTTAAATTAGTGAAACAAAGAATCCTATTCAATTTCAGCAATTTCCGTCATTTACTTCTAGAGTTATTTCCCTTGTTAAACTTTACGCTCGAACGACAAAAGTTATCATCTGATCCACATGAAATTGATATGCATTATTTAAATTAGTAAAACGAAAAAGCCTCTCGAATTTCAACAATTTCTGTAAATTACTTCCAAAGTTAAGGCCCTTGTTTCAGTTTGTAGAACCTTGTGAACCCTCAAACGACGAAAATTATAATCTGATCAGAATGAAATTGTCTGGTAAATGCCCCCCCCCCCCCACCACCTACTAAAGAATAAATATGTGACAACCCTTGTCAACTGCTCGGATGATTTAGCTGCTGTGGGTGTATGTTTCATTGCCTGGCAACCTATCTTACTTTTATCTTGATGTCTAGGGTGAATTCACTCTCAGTCATTACTAATTTTTAGTCAAAACAAATTCAAAACTGAACAAAAGCACATTTTGAATCAATGAAAGAGATTATGTACTATGAAGATTTGATTTGTAACGTACGCCTAGCTCACAACCCTCTGTACGTGCTACTATGGGCAGTCTATGTGGGAAAGGCTCATGCATCACTTCTGTGTGTGTGTGAGACAGCAGAGAAGATCACAGACTGGCCGTAGAGACTTTTCGTTCTGCACATGCAAAATTTTCACTAGGTTTCGTGTGGCTGCCCTGCGAGCTACCAAACCCTACGACCCATGTGTGTCAAAACACGTATGGGGGGTTGTGAGCTAGGCTTTATGTAACCAACATAGTAATGGTAGATAATTTATTGCTTGCTTGTTTTTTATTGTTTTTTAAGAAAAGAAACAAAGAACAGTTCATCATAATAATCGACCTGTAGGTGCCAGTAATCCTCCTTCAGCAGGTAATTAAACAAATTATCTTTAATCAAGGATCTCTTACGATATTTAACTAAACTTCATTCTAACAAGTAGACACTGAAAGTGACCCTACTTCAACACTACTAGTGCAGTATTTTACTGTTTGTTTTTAGATTGTTATAGCCATTACATGCAGCAAAAAGAAACCTTCCAACCACATCCATACAGATTGATAAAAAGGAGATGTATGAAAACAAATATACAGTGCACTCTGTCACATCCGACCTCTGATCACTCCGGCACTCTGTTACATCCGACACCATTTTCATGTCCCGATTTATTTCCTTATTACTTCAGCCCAAAAATCTCTTGATAATTCGACCTCTGTACGTTCCGGATTACGACATCAATCAGCCGTCCCATCATACGATTTCCATTGAATCGACACCGTATAATCCGGCCTTCAATCGGTGAGTGTGAAGCAAACACTCACCGATCAATTATCCGTGAGATTAAAACTGGATGGGCGTGAAGCCCCCAAAAGATTAACATGCAATCACCAATCAATTATCTGTGAGATTAAACCTCGCTACCGTGGGTCTTTGTTGATTACTTTGATAATTTTAATCTCTTGTACGACAGTTGTGACAAATACTCAAGAATATCAACGAATTTTCCCCCGAATTCACAGTCGTAAAAATATTCCTAACACCTGTTGGAAACATTCGTTGCGCATGCCGATTGATCCTGAATAACCTATAAGTTTGGTCACCCTACGGATCTCTTCGAACCGTGTGACGACGACCTGGGGATGCTCGATTCACAGCCCGGAACGTTCCGAATTGACAGAATTGCAATCGAGTGACGCGGAATTCAGCCCTGTCACAGTTCTATCAGTCCCGACGATGGAGGTGGTGTAAGTAAAATTGTGACGTAATTAAACACGACGAACAGGTTTCGGCTGCATGGTTGGACGAGATATTTATATATCCCGAAGTACCCATTTTCACTCGATTGTCACAATTTTTGTGCTTGCTGACAGCATTTTTCAACATAAACAGATCAAAATTATGGGCATGTGAGACATATAATATAGTGCATTTTGGCACATAATGCCGATGTGAACAGCTTTTCCTTTTTTCTTCCATTTCCACTTGAGAATGGCTCGGCTCAAATGTTTATACTGCATTACTATAGACCCATAGAAGAGATATTTTATATTCCAATACAGTGGTGTCTGACTTTGACATATTTTAGAAATTTATATATTTATTTGAATATATATGTGCCAAAAGTCTGTTGAAATAAATAAAAACACTGTCACTAGACTCAGCACAAACAAAAACATTCAAGGAGACAAAACTTGCAAGCTGTCAATCAAACAACCTGATGTAAACAATTAGCCATGTGGCGTGAATTGAGGCAAAGCGTACAGTTCAGTATGGGTGAATTTAAGCGACGGCTTTGTGTACTAAACATTAAAAAATAAAAAATTTGTGTTTATCATATCCGAATAAACTACCCATTTGATCAGATTTTTGGCCAAAGGACGGCGCGTGAACACAATACAGCAATAAACTTGTGCCAAATCTATATGCTTACTATAGAGCCCAGTGCCAACTATACTAATGTCCAAAAGAAAGTATGCACTGAGCATTTCGTCCTGCTTCAAACAAAGTCGTTTTTCCATTGTATGCGGTATTTGTGTACAATGTCCATTTGTTTTGCCGCTTATTTGCTTAGAAATATTGAGTTTGGACACACGAGACATGTTCAGTGTAGGTTTACCACATTTTTTTTATTTAAACAAAACTTAGTTGTATTTTTAGTGTGTATACTTTCTTTTGGACATCAGTATATGTCACTTCTGGTTTAATTAAAATTAAATTCTTGCCTATAAAAACTTATTTGCTTGCTTTACAGAGGGGATTATTTATCAATATATATTTAAGATTTATGGAAACCTTGTTGAAAATTGTTGCCCTTCCCCTTTAATTATCTGTAAATTTTATTTATAGACTTAAAGATGAATTATGTAAGATTTAGATAAGTTATAACAGTTCAAAAATAGGTATAATGAAAAGTGAATATATTGAACATTTCAATCTAATTACTGTATTCTGGGCATAGTTATTTCTGGTTTTGACAAGATATAGCAAGAAAAGTCTTTATTATATTGTCAAGTATTGGTATGATAATAAACAACGTTTAATTATGATATGGCACAGGTGTTCGAATTCATTCATTATCTCATCGAATGATCTAGAGAGTTGATTAAATGCTTGTCTTGTGAATAAATGTTTGAATAATAATTTATATGACATTTGAAGCCAGAAAAAAGACCTGCAATAGGCAGATTTAGTTCTTGCATAATGCATATTTAAAGGAGCTAAATCGCTAATATTTGGGATCTAAAAATTGACAAAAATGGGTCGCAACGCATATAATAATGTAATGTGAATGTATATAAACTGATTTACATTCAATCGTTTCTGTTTTTACTGTAATTTCTAATCAGTTATGTTCGGCGAAATACACCAGAAGTCTCATGTGAATGGCAATCTTTAGCGTCTGTTTTTTCCAGTCTACACCAATGGTATTTATTGCTCACACTCTCCAGATAAGAATATAGCGTCACCATTTGACACGACTTGTGGAATATGTCTATCCCTGTTCTTTGAGTCCCTTGTTCCAAATGGCGCTGAAACGCATTATGGTACACGATTCGTGTACCAATGGTAAAATGTTTATTTTGTCTTGAATATTGGATATCAGAAGCCCATCTTTTACCTGTAAGATCACAAGACCAATGTTGATTTGAATTGACAAATAATTTGTGTTTTCAATGTCGAAGATTTTTGATGATATTAGGTGGAGGACTGGGAAGTTCTAACTAGCTTAGTTTTCAAAAGTCGTTGCAACTCACCGCTGTGGAAAGTTTCAATATTTATTTCTCGAGAAATAACCCTAATGTATTGTAAACAAAACTGCCACACTCCAATTTATGTGCCAGAAACGTTTTAAACAAATAATCTAAACGACAGCATTTTTTGTCCTCGCAATAATAAAAGTAGTGAGACGGCGAGCTTTCAGCCAATGAAAATCTAGTAAATAGACGTGACCTTAAGGAGAATTTAATAGATCAATGTCGTTGTTTTGCTATAATATAATTAGGATGATTTTTTTTAGCCAAACTCGTTGTAAATCATATTTCTAATGAAAAGAAAGTGCGCGCTATTAATACTGGTATTTACCGGTGTCGGCTAAAATGTAATAAGTGCATAAATGTGAAAGATTTAGGTCAGCGATGACTCATTGGGTAGAGTGTCCAACTGACAGCTGCTTACCACTTGGCGATTATGTCACATGTGCCGTGTTTTCGGACCCTCCACCCCATCAGACGGACAGTTTTCCCCGATGCCAGACAAGCTTTACCCCTCTTACCCCCCCCCCCCCCCCCCCCCCGTGAAGCCGCTGTCGGTAATACCTGACGGGCTTGTCCTCTCTCAACAAATTTTAAGCTGTTTGTAGCCTGTGTAAATGTGATGAATCAATTTATTATTCTTAAGAAAGTAGGCCTACACGACACTGTGGAATTAATTTTTGCATGCATCGTGTTTAATAGTCCAGCTCTGAACGTAGGTCTCATTACACTCACCTCTACGTCCAGGGACCATGTTATTGAAGCCTTGGCGAAAAAGTTTGGCTTCCCAGTCAATTTTACTGGGCAACTTTTTACTGCGAAACGGTCGAGTGTCAGTCCCTGTGAACGCCTGAACAATATAAATGTACATCTTAGTGAGAAAATAAGACCTTGCTTACCTCGCTAGAGTCAGTATGAGCGACACGACACACTGTTAAAAAATACGTCTCCATCTTCTAACCGACTTGGCAGACATCATTGAAAGGGTAACGCACAAATTTAAGAACTCGGTCAAATAAGATGAAACGAAATTTAAGTAAGCCTGGGAGAAAAAAAAATGAAATCTTTGAAAAGTTGAGAATCTTCAGGGATTTATTGCTTTGCCTAGCTAAATTACAATAATTTACAATCAAATTCTTTCAAAAATCCCAATTTTTTCGCACCAGGCTTACTTGAACTTCGTTTCATCTTATATGGCCGAGTTCTTAAATTTGTGCGTTACCCTTTCAATGATGTCTGCCAAGTCGGTTAGAAGACGGAGACGTATTTTTTAACAGCGTTTTGTGTCGCTCATACTGACTCTGGCGAGGTAAGCAAGGTCTTATTTTCTCACTAAGATGTTCATTTATATTGTTCAGGCGTTCACAGGGACTGACACGCGATCGTTTCGCAGTGAAAAGTTGCCCAGTAAAATTGACTGGGAAGCCAAACTTTTTCGCCAAGGCTTCAATAACACAGTCCCTGGACGTAGAGGTGAGTGTAATGAGACCTACTTTCAGAGCTGGACTACGTGTTTAACATCCCACCACAGCTCCGAGTATTAAGATAATTTGAGAAGGGTTGGAAATGTTATTTGATAGCAATGATATAGGCCTATATATAATCGAATATAAATATAGATAATTGCCAAATATCAAAATCAATCAAGGTGTGTGAAGCTATATTTTATTAGAGGCTCTCTTCCTACTGTAGTCTTTGCGTGTGTAGACATACATACTTTGCATTGTCGAGTTCATCCTAATATTAACTGGTTAGAATAGATCCCCTAAGCCCACCCTTCCTCATCTCTAATAAAGTCGACACTGTAGCATCCATATAATGTAACTATGCATAAATCAAAGGCAAGGCCCAGCACTCCCCCCCCCCCCCCATACACTGCTTAATCCCCCACCCTCCATATAAGGTTGGAAATACCTTTTAATATCAATATACCCACAAAAGCACCCCTAATAAGGTTTGACAATGTAATAACAATTAACTGATGTTTTGTGGACAGTTATTTGTGTTTGCTAAATTATGACTTTTTGAAATTAATGCATAGGTATAATACAGGTTGTGTTCTAACAACTGGCTAAAATGTCCCTTGTTTGTCCATTCCCCTATTTTAAAAAATATATATAGACTACTTGGTCTTGCTCAAAGGAGCGGTCTATGGGAGTTTTAAAAATAAATTATTTTTTTTAACATTATTTATTAAAGATAATTGGATTATAGAGCAGGCAACCCCACTCTCCAAAAAAAAAAATACAAACAGATATAAATATTACAATTACAATCAAAACATAATGAAATTACAATAATAAATCAAATACATAAATATACACATATACATATATATATATATTACATACACTCACACACACATGTACACACTACACATACACTAATTCATTGATAATTAACATCAAACAACTGAGAAAAATGTACCATAATAGACTAAAATAAATATGTATGCTGCACATGTTTGATATATAAAGAAATACTTAAGATTTTTAATACATGTAGTTCAAAATATAAACATTAAAGTAGCTAAGTCTCTAACTCAATATCATCCAAAATCTTCAACATTGAAAACACGATTTATTTGTCAAATTAAATCAACATACATGTTGTGATCTTACCGGAAAAAGATGGGCTTTTGATATCCAATATTTAAGACAAAATAAACATTTTACCATTTGTACACGAATCGTGTACCATAATGCGCTTCAGCCCCAGTTGTATCAAGAGATTCGAGGGACGAAGCTAGACACATTGCACCAAGTCAAACGGCGTATATAGACTGGAATAACCAGACACTAGAAATTTGCACTTGTTTGAGACTGATGGCATATTTTGTCGAACATAGATGATTTGAAATTGGAGTAAAAACGGAAACCATTGAATGTAAATCAATTTATATACATTCATACTACAGTATTATATGCGTTGCGACCCACTTTTGTCAATTTCTAGGTCTCAAGTGTTAGCGATTTAGCTCCTTTAAATATTACTGTAATGACTTTAATTGACAAAAGTTCTGATTTTAATGAAAATGAATATGGAAAAAAACAGTATGTACAAGCTCTGTTGATAAGATATGAATTTATAGGCTTGAGTCAGCATACAATAGGTATGTAAAAACATATATAACAAAGTCATTTTAAAATTTAATAAAACATGTTGATTTTGATTTTAAAATTATACTAAATCAATCACGGACTAAAGTGTACAAAATATGGATAATGAATTTGTTATGGTTAATATATGTTATAGCGAGTTCAATGATAGGTTCAATATTAACAAAGATTACTTGAATTGTAAAACTGTTCAAAATTTAAACTCGACTAATGATACAGATTTAAAACATTAGTTTTACTATAAGATAAAACAAAATTATAATCCGATGGAATAACTTGATTTTAAAAATATCAGAAATTAAGAGAAAAAAAAATCACTAAACTTCAGCCGATAATAAGGGACAGACACAAAAAAAACCCTGATGTAAGAGTTATAAACTATGTGAGAATGTAGCATTCAACTGAGGATAAAATCCATGCTCCCATATATTGCTTTAATTTTAGTAATGCCAGGTTAAAGGTGTACAAAGAATTGGGGATAGAAAATCATTTTAAAGAAAAGGAAAAAATAATAATACTTTTAAAACAAATATTTGTTGATGTAATAATGAAAATATATATATATTTTTTTTTTTATTGAGAATGTATTGATTATTATCTTTGTAACAATATATAGTTTTTACATTCAACATTCTTCTTCATCATCATGATCATCATCATCATCATTATCATCCATAGCCATCTCTGTGTGTGTAGGTGTGGAATTTTGACAGTCTTAACATCCACATAGATCTGTACAGGAAAGAGCAGCAACTTTACAGGAACATCTTTTTGATTCACCTTTGAAGCTTCTTTCTTTGTTCCTAAAGAAAATAGGAAATATGATAGAAAAAACAATTGTATGTCACGTGTGAATTTTTTTTTGAGCAATGCAATCTCTAAATGAAATCAAAATCTAAAATTGCTTATTTAAATAGCATTTCCGCCTGTAGGATCAATAATCTTTGCAGATCTTTTTACGGCTTAGACTAATTGCCTTTGATTTGTCTGTAAAGGCTATTCCAAACTATGCTCCCACAAGACGGCAGGTTTTGTTTTAGACCAATCACCGACGGAATATAAATTTGACAAAGTTCCATGGAACCTGACTAAAATGATTCTAATAAGAATGTAATTTTAAATATTATGTGCTGTACTCCATATTTCTTTATTGAAAATGATATTTCATAACCCTTGACATTGTAATTAATGACTAATGTAATTTGTTAGTTATGTTTCATAAAAATGTTTTGCCCTTCACCAGTTTAGGCTTCAGTTTTGTTTTTAAACTTGAAAATTTGCCCACCACTGGTTTGCGTGATACCATGTATTGTGAACAAGTACTTTATATATTTCTTAACAACAACCAACGTGAACACTCACAGCCTAGAAAAAATTTAAATACTAAGACTAAGAAAATAATAATAAAATAACTAATAATAACATACAAACATACCTTCGAACACATCTCGATACGTGATTGCAATGTTTTTTTCTTCTCCATCCAAAGTCTGCCACTGTTTTGAATATTCCACACAATGCCTCCAGGTGTTGTCGTTAAAAACCAGTAACTTGCAGGGCTGTGTTGCATTCTGATGAATAAGGCACTTCATTTTTCTGGTCAGAATGCCAGAAAAATGTGTCCTTGTTGACTATAATACGCCATGATTGAAGGATCAGGGCTAAACGTTTTCTTTATTTTGATTGGCCAAAATGGCACTCTGCAACAAACTTTGCGTGTATTCCTACGTGTGTAATGTTTATTTTTTAGGTGATTAGGTTAAAAAGAATTCCATTTTTAAAAAATAATTATTAAATACTGGCACATGCCGAATGTGTGGAGATCATGGTTTTTAAATTAGTACAAAGAGACGTGTAATTTAAAAAATTAAAATCTCCCACAGAGGTTGTTGCAACGAACTTGAACGATAAATTTCTTCGGTCTTTCGCCTATATTGAGTTAGAGACTTAGCTACTTTAATGTGAATTGATCTTAAAGTATAACAAATTTACAGGATCAGTTGGCAACCAAACTAAAGTAACTACTAATGTTGATAATAAAATAAATGGATCTGGGACATTGTCTAAGAAAAACAAGAAAGAAAAGAAGAAAGGAAAATTAACTAAAGATGACATTGGAACTCCTACAAATTTCAAGTAAGTTGCTTTTAATATAAACTATTTTATTAAAGCTAAAACCAACAATCAACATGTCAAAATAAAAGTTGAATATATGTATATATACCCTTCCAAAAAAGTAGGGGGGCTGGTAAGCACGTGCGCGCTGTATCATAGGCCTGTCATTTAGTCAACTGGTATGGTTACGAATCCCTGGTTGTACGTGACAAGGAGTAGGGTCGCCTGTCCATCCTCGTGGGTTTTCTCTGGGTCCTCCGGTTTCCTCCCACTGCTAAAGACCCCTACACGAAAGCGAATTATTGAAATAAAAAATTAAAACCATATGTTAGTTTCGAAATGACCTAGTTTGTGTCAAGTAGAGTTAAACTCTCTCTCTCTCTCTCTCCAAAAAAATTAAGGCATAGCCCATTTATCATCATTTTTGTCCCCCCGCCTTTCAAAGTTTGTCTGTCCCCGTCCGTCCGTCTGTCTGTCTATCCTTCACACTTTTTGTGACAGAATAACTCTCCTTCTAATTGAGCTAGAATGTTCAAACTTGGGGTAGGTGTTTATTAGGTCAATGCCTTGATGAAGTTCAAAGATGGGCATATTCTGCATAGGGTAAGCACTAAGCAGAGATAAGCAATTTGATTGGTTGATGCTTAGAAATGAAATATATCCCCCTGAACTAATATTAAACATACATTATGCAAGAGCTAAATCTGATTATTGTAAGTCTTTATTTAGGCTTCAAATGTCATAGAAATTATAAATTAGATCATTATTTACACAACAAGCACAAAATCAACTCTGTAGACCCACGGATGGCTTGGATTTAAAAAGGATTTCATTGATTGATTAAATTTTTAAATGTCGTCGTAAGCGGATATTAACCGTTACGTTGACGTCATACTCCCGGAAATTTTAGATCGAAGCTAAATGATAGAGTGTACGAAGCAAGGCCGCTGTTGAGCGAGGCGGCATGTCAGTCAATTTGATTGAAAGTTCGATATATACGGCCTTGATATTATGTTTAGTTGTGGTTAAAATGAGAGTTTGGATGTCAGTATTATACGCTCTTTTTTGTCACTTGCGTTTACAGAAAAATGATGGAAATTGATAAACATCGCAGCTAACATCACCCCAGTTGAATTGTAGCCCCATTGGATCATTGTTTCCTATCTCAGTCAGTATCTTTTTGCTTCAGGAGTTATGTAGGCCTAGCAGTTACAGTACAAGAGTACACGCAGGCTAACAAGAAGTCGGCTATTATTATTCCTCGTTGATTTGGTCCATTCCTTTCAAACTTTCGCTTCTTATCTATATATTAAAAGTCTTATTTTTAATTTGTAGTAAAAATAAATGTGATACGAATTGAATTGCATTATTGCAACCCCGTCTCGAACCGAATATGCTAACGGTACCACAGAGGGTTGAAATTTGGTGTATAGCTTTATTACATCAATACCTTGACTAAGTTCGATAATGAGCATTTTCTGTTCAGGTTCATCAGAGCGATAAGCAATTTGATTGATCGATACTTTGGAACACAATAACTCTCATTCTAATTGTGCTAGAATGTTCATACTTGGCGTAGGTGTTTATTAGGTGTAAGCAGAGATAAGCAATCTGATTGGTTGATGCTTTGGGGCACGATTACTTTGGTTTTAATTAAATGATAGTGATGAAACTCTGAGTATAGATTCATTATATCATTAACTTGACTAAGTTCGTTGATGAGAATTTTCTGCTTAGGCTAAGGAGCAATAAGCAATTTGATTGGTCAAGACTTTGGAACATAACAACTCTGCTTTTAAAGTTACAATTTCATATTTTTAAGTTATATTTTTAAAATGTATTAAAATAAAGCCCTAAAATAGATGGTATCTATAAACAGTCCTACCTTGTTAAAGAATAATCCTATTAATCCTATAATTCACTATTGCCAGTTGAGAAATTGGCAAAAATATCATTTTCAACTTCAAATTCAAACGTTTGAAGATAGCTATTCCATGGTGGGGAATGGGAAAACAAGGGAGGTAATTGTGTTATTATTTCCGGTGTGAAGATTTTTAAGTGTGAGAAAGATAACCTATGATCGTATAATAGTGAGTTCACAACCTATTGAGCAAAAGACCTAGAAATAATTATGTTTTGACTTTCTTAGAAAATATGAAATTGTAACTTTAATTGAGGTAGAATGTTTAAACTTGATGTAGATGTTCATTAGGTGAATGTCTTGACTGAGTTCAATGATTAAAGGACCTAAATCGCTAATATTTTGGACCTAGAAATTGGCACAAATGGGTCTCAACACATATAATAATGTAATATGAATTTATATAAACTGTTTTACATTCAATCGTGTCCGTTTTTCTGTGAATTGTCATCAGTTATGTTCGGCGAAATACGCCAGAAGTCTCAACCGCAAGTCAGTTTCTAGCCTCTGGTTATTCCAGTCAACACCATTATTATTTATTGCGCATGCTCTCCAAATAAGAACATGATATCACCGTTTGACATGACTTGTGAAATATGTCTAGCCTCATTGTTTGAGCACCTTATTACAAATGGCGCTGAAACACATTATGGTACACGATTCGTGTACCAATGGTAAAATGTTTATTTTGTCTTAAATATTGAATATCAGAAGCCCATCATTTCCAGGTAAGATCACAACACCAATGCTGATTTAAATTGCAAAAAAAAATCGTGTTTTCAATGTCGAAGATTTTGGATGATATTGAGTTACGGACTTAGCTACTTTAACATTTCGAACTAAAGCTAAGCAGAGCTAACCAGTTTCATTGGTCGATGCTTTGGGACAAGATAACTTTGATTCTATCTGATAGAGAGTGATGAAACTTTTTGATTGTTCATAATCAGTTTGATTGCTTGATACTTTTGAAAAAGTATCATGTATCATCTATTTTGGGATTTCAGTGGGGGACATCAGCCTCACTGTTGGCTTGTTTTTTATTTGAACGGGATAGTTGTTTCCATAAATTTTACTTGTTTTTAATGTCATTATGTAAAGATAAAAGAAATTCATGATTGGTTTTAAATCTAGGGTCACCAATTGTGACTGGTCATATTTTTTGCCGAAATTTATTTTCGCTTGATTGCACCAAGACACACGAGTTTAACAACTTCCCAAGCTTTTCGCATGAAACCCAAATCGAAGGCCTTTAAAATCTTGGGGCTCTGGGTTTCAAAATCAGTTGCACATGTAAAGACTCAACGAGCCAAGTGATGCCACATCCGAACAAAGACCAACGCAACGACGCTATCAGTCGCTTACATACAAGCAGGTGAATCCCAGACAGATGTAGCCAGGCTGCTGAATGTTTCCAAGAGTACCATCTCTCGCTTTTGGGATAGGTACCGACAGTGAAGTTCAACACCTGACCGCTCGAGCTCAGGCTAAACAAGAGTGACCTAGCCTGCCCTGGATCATCACATCCAGTTACGTCATTTACGGAAATGGTTCACAATAGAGACCTCTACTGCAACAACAATTCCTGGACGATGTAGGATCTCAGACCAGACAGTCCATAAATGCCTACATGAAACCGGATTATGGGCCAGATGTCCCGTTAGAGCTACTGTTTTGAAATATGCCAACATTGTCAAATCCGACCTCAATTGGTTCAGGCACACATGGTATGGCTCCAACAACGCTGGAGGATAGTTTGGTTCAGCGACGAGTCGCAGCACTTGTTGAAACGAGACGATGGTAGAGCGAGGGTATACCGAAGACGAAATGTCACTAAGCGTTTCTTTATTTGAAGAGTATAGTTTAGCACCATAAACAACCAAGAGTAAACTTACAAAAATACTTCTGTTCCAAATATCATTCTATCAGACTTTCTAACTTAAGTTATGCCCATTTAAAGTTTACATATTCCATAATAATAACAATTCTGCTGTATTTGCTGTAGAAGCCAGCACGCTCATAATCATGTGTTTTTTCTATGCCCACATGGGAATGTTTACGTATATTGCCGTCACCCCTTTCTTGTGAACGCTCTAACGGCAAAAGTTATGATCCGATTGTTTTAAAATTGATGTATGTTGTTGACATTAGTGAGGTAAAGAAAGCTATTTAATTTCAATAATTTCCGTTTATTAAGTCTAGAGTTATGGCCCTTGTTTCACTTTATTGAACCTTGTGAACGCTATTACGCCACAAGTTATCATCAGATCTTTATGAAATTTATATGCATTCTTTGAATTAGTGAAATGAAGACGCCTATTGAATTTCAGCAATTTCCATTTATTACTTCTAGAGTTATGGCCCATGTTTCACTTTGTTGCACCTAATGAACGCTCTAACATCTAAAGGTATCTGCCGATCTGTATGAAATTTATATGTGTCATTTGAATTAGTAAAAAGAAGAATCCTATTGAATTTCAGTCATTTCCGTTTATTACTTCTAGAGTTATGGCCCTTGTTTCACTTTGTTGCACCTTGTGAACGCTCTAACATCAAAAGTAATCTGCCGATCTGTATGAAATTTATATGCGTCATTTAAATTAGTAAAAAGAAGAATCCTATTGAATTTCAGCAATTTCCGTTTATTATGTCTAGAGTTATGGCCCTTGTTTTACTTTGTGGGCGGTTGAATGGCTGAATGGTTAGCACGTGCGCGCTGTATCATAAAGTCTGTCATTGAGTCAACTGCCGTGGTTTCGAATTCCCGGTTGTACGCGACAAGGAGTAGGGTCGCCTGTCCAACCTCGTGGGTTTTCTCCGGGTCCTCATGTTTCCTCCCACTACTAAAGACCCCTACGTGCAAGCAAATTATGGAAATAAAATTGAACCATACGTTAGTCCCGAAATGACCTGGTTTGTGTCGAGTGGACGTTAAACCCCATTTCTCTCTCTCTCTCTCTGTTTCACTTTGATCTGTATGAAATTAATATTGAATTTCAGCAATTTACAATAATTACTAATAGAGTTAAGTTATGGCCCTTGTTTCACTTTTTTCAACTTTGATAATGCTCGATTGATGAAAGTTATCATCCGATATGTATGA